ATATATATATATATATATATATAATTAACACAGTGACATCAACAATACTAACAGGAGGGCGGACTGCACAAATAAACACTTTTTGCAATTCACGGCCAATGTGCCATAATAAGATATTCCTATTGACAGTTGACCTTTTACTATCTTCGCGATCACTACTTTGTCATATAATTAACTTAACTTCGCTACTCCGTATATTATAGTGTGTGTGTGTGTCGCCGTCAGCTCCCTGTTGGATTAATTATCTCTAGGTGTCCAGCAGGTTGTATTATCTATTTAATATTTCAATTGCTTAATAAATATTTATTTATATCGTTGTTAACCTAAAGTATTATATATATATATATTGTAGTGCTCTAAGTGGTAGTTCCTCTAAGGGAATATAAATTAAATAGGAAACTTCAGTACCTAAGGTAGATATAGCCTAGCCAGCTATCTCCCGTTGGTCCCTTAGAATACTGTCGACGGGCATTTAGGTTAAACTCCTAAATAGCGACGTAACAAAATTAAACTAACATTGACTCTTTATATAAAACTTCCTCAACCTAATATTTACAGTATTTGAGGAAGAAGGTGGTGGAAACGAGTATAATCCGGCCATGTGACTCAGACTAGTTTTTAGGTGGCGGGTTCCCGCATAGAGCGCAGCATACAATTTGTTTGAGCCAAAACAGAAACTAACACAATACTTATTCATTGAGGCACATGATGTTGCCAGTTAAGCTGTGTAGGTGTCTTTTTTTAAATTCATTTTGATATTCTGATATATTTTTTTTTTTTAGTCGTGGCAGTTATAAATTTGGAACCCTTATTTCGTAAATGTAAGAATGCTTGAAATAATAATAGCGTATTCATGCTTTTATAATAATAATATTAACAATATAAAATGTTCACATATAACAATTTTTTACACAATTTCAGTTAATAACTATTTTTGATAAAAGAAAATTAACTTTATAAGATGTTAAATATTTAATAGATTAATAAATTATTAAGCATAGTGCATTAAAATTAAGTAACAGACTTACATCAAGTGTACTCAAATTCTAAGTTCACATTTTTCTTAGCAAATTTCATTAATTATATTTTGATATTTTTAATTTANTATATTCTTATTAAGTTTTATGATTTACAAGTGTAATATATGAATATATGTATATTTATTATATATAAATATTATACAAAAAATATATATAAAGTGAAATAATTTTATTAAAAAAAAAAAAAAAATTCAAAAGTTATATTGAAAATGTTAAATTTTTGTAAAAAATTTCCCATTTTGAATCCCTCCCTGTGGGCAGGTGAAGGGATAGATTTATAAAAAAATATATCAAATGATAGATAACTACATTATGCATCTATAAAAAAAATTATATTGATTTGGTTATTTTAAGTAAAAAAAATTGAAAAAATTAAAAAAATTAGCGTTTTTAAAATTTAAAGTTTTTTTGAAGATTTCCCCCATTGACGGGGAACGAGGGACAATTTTTCCATTTTTTAGGGTAATGTCTTTGACTAGATACATTTTGTGATCTTTTGACATACAGTTGAAAAAATTATGTTCGGCGAGAGCTGAGAAAAAGTGGTAAGAGACCCAAAAAAAAAATAAAATAAGAAACACTTTATAGTAAATTGATACCTTCTTAAGTTCGCATCGAAGCTAATAAATTATTTTGTTTTAGGCGATTATGAATTATGTGAAGTTTGTTACAAATTGATACCGGAAGTAATTTTAAAACCTTGTTTACACCGGTTGTGTCCAACATGTGCTTTCAATGCAAAATTTGTGTGTAAGATTCCATCATGCAATCAATGTATAAGAAATTATGATAACATTAGTGCGTATTTAACTTAAATTTAAAATCTACATAGTGATTTATTAAGCATACTATCTTCTATTTGTTTAATAAATATTCATTTTTTTCTGTTAACGATATAAATGAAAATCTAGATATAATTTTTTTATAGATGATAACGGCTTATGTTACGTATGCAAAGAAGAATCATCTACAGTAACAATTCTTCCTTGTTTTCATAAAATTGGCAATACTTGTGCTTCTTATTATAACATATACTCAAGAACGGAGAGATGTCCACAATGTGATATAACAGTTAGTGAATTTTGTGAATTAAGTATGGAATAAATGTTTAATTATTTTTATTATGGTTTTATATCATAACCCACACAATTACATACAGTATAAATATAATTATGTAATTTTAATTTTTGTCATTTTTATCTATATTATGTTCTCAAATTATTAGCTAAGAAATTGTTGGGTATACATTACGAGAGGGCGTTTTGCTACATCTTATTTTTATGACTGATAACGTCTCTCGCATTACCACCACCGGTTGTGTGAGCGATTCACTACGTTGGATGCTAGTATACGTGATTATTGTGTCTCGCCGAAATATTATCAGTCCCTTTTGTGAATTTTTTAGCCACCATTGCTAGCCTTTGCTACGTGGTTCTATGGTGCACCTAGCTCATAGTAGCTTTAATGGATTAACCACCCTGGTGATTCGTCGTGGGTATAGAATTGCTATACCAATCTATGCCATTGTGTGCCCTTCGTGTACATAATAAGTGCCTCCGTTTGTATCGACTACCTTTGTAGTCTTCAACATTTTAATTTAAAGTATTCCAACTGTTCATTTCTCATCGTCATCAGTCATCTTTCATCTATTGTACGTTACACAGTTAACTTTTTATTTGTTTGTAATTATTATATTATATTTTATCTATTTTGTTCAGAGATGCCTTGTTGGCCATTTTAGTATTAAGTGACCACCCAATCCACAATTCTAAGATAGTATATATATATATATATATATATTGTTACTTTAATATATAACTCCTTGTCTCGTAATTCTTATTATTTTATTTAGTGTAAGTACAATCCTCTTATAAACAGNATATATGTTTAAAGGACGCAGTATTTCCGGAACATTTTCAAAAATTAAGTTAAAAAAGTTATTTTTTGTAAAAAAGTTACTATTTTAAATCCCCCCAGTGAGCAGAATACGTGTTATATTTTCAAAAAAAATTATATCAAATGAAAGGGAAATATCTAAGGTTTCAATACATAAAAATATTATTTTTATATGTTTATTTTTGAAAAATTTATGGTAGTTTTAGGTACAAAAAACATCCCGATAAAAGATAATTTTTATCGCAAACATTACATTTTTTTTTAATTTTTGACAGCCACNAAACATTACATTTTTTTTTAAATTTTCGACAGCCATTTGCACATAGAAGATAAGATGTCGGGACAAATTTTTTTTTTTCATTTGATAGTATATAACATAATCTTTGATTTGATATATGTTTAAAGGACGCGGTATTTCCGGAACATTTTCAAAAGTTCCGTTGAAAAAGATCAATGTTTTTTACAATATTTCAAGTTTTAAACGCCACCTATATAAGGGGAAATTGTCCAATTTTAATAAAAAGTATGTCAAATGAAAGATGTCCTTATAATGTATTTAGAAAAAAAAAATTTGTGCTAATATATACATTTTTCAAAAAGTTATAGCATTTTTAAGTTGAAAATTTAAAATCGAAAATCGAAAATTTTAACACAAAAATAGTGTTTTTTGAACTACGGCAGCCGTTTAAATGTAGAAGAAAAAGTGTCGGGACAAATTTTTTTTTTCATTTTATAGTACATAAAACAAGCTTTAATTTGATATATGTTTGAAGGACGAAGTATTTCCAGAACTTTTTCAAAAATTATGTTGAAAAAGTAAATTTTTGTAAAAAAGTTGCTATTTTAAATCCCCCTTAATGAGCAGGTTAAGTGATAAATTTTCAAATAAATGATATCAAATGAAAGGTAAATATCTAAGGTTTTAGTATAAAATTATGTTAATTTGTTGATTTTTTAAAAAGTTATGGAAGTTTTAAGAAAAAAAAGTGAAAAAATTTCGAAAATTAGCGATTTTTAAATTTGTAATTTTTTTGGATATTTCCCCCATTTGCGGGGAACGAGGGAATTTTTTTCAATTTTTAAGGGTAATGTCTTCAACTAGATACGATTTGTGATCTTTTGACGTATTTTTGAAAGAAATCAGTCCAGTGAGAGCTGAGAAAAAGTGGCAACAGACATAAAAAAAAAAATAAAATAAAAATAAAAAAAAACACATCATAGTAAAATTAATTCCTTTTCCGCTTCGCATCGAAGCTAAAAATTATTTATATAACCATTTTATTGATTAATTTCAAACAAAATTATTATATAGCGATCGATATTTAATAATTTCTTGTTGTATATAATACAAACGTATCATTGAAAAAAAATTTGTATCAGTATTTAAATGAAATTATAATGAATAATTTTAAAATGTTGTTTGGAATGAACTAGGATCCTTTTTATATTAAATTATTTATTGAGTAAAATGTTAAGAAACCATCAATATTTGTTTAATTCACATTTAAATCCAATTTAATATTATATATTGTATAAATGAGTATACTGGCATCCCTCACCTAATAAACAATATTGTTCGACTTAATAAATATAGGCTAAATATTTGAAAAAAGAAATTGAAGTAGATAATTATATCAACATGAAACACTTATAGGTTTTACACAAAAATAACAATTAATGTTTAACTTCGGGAACCCTATTTATATATAGAATAACTTTTATTTTTAAAAGTTAAAAAAAAATTCCGACGCCTTCTATTTACATGTATCATTTTTTATTATTTTGGTATAAACGTTGCCATTTTTTGTATTGTTATAATTTTTTTTTCATTTATATTGTCTGATTTTAATTAAAACAGTATAGACCTATATGTAATAGGAGTTAATTAACCCAATAATCCCCTTAGGTTATTATATAGGTTTAATATTAATATATTAACTTTGCTTGTTTTACATTAAGAATCAACAATGACGAGATTTAACTCGGCGAGTGGTTGTTTGAGTAAATGCTTTATACAAATAAAGTAATATTAATTTTAGAAGCAGTGAAAAATAGTTATTGCCAAAACTGCAACGACGAACAATCTGTAAAAAAAATGAAACGTTGTAACCATTATGTTGGACACAATTGTATAAATAGAAACAAAACTACTAAGTGTCCAGTAAAAATGTGTAATCAAATTCAAGATAATTCTTCGGAAAATGGTAAGCTTTTAAATACTTGATTTACTCAAGTTTACTTCTTCTAAAATTTTAAGAAGAAAAATTAAAAAATAATTATTAGAACCTAGGATCATCTGTTGTTCATATACTTATTAAACACCTGAAATTAACATCACTCTCATAAAACGTTTCAATGAGATTGCAATCATTTCTTTAGCTAGNACTCTCATAAAACGTTTCAATGAAATTGCAATCATTTCTTTAGCTAGAATTTTATAAAAGAACATAAAAAAATCCAGTACATGAAAGTAGTGACATAGTTGAGACAAGAAAAAATGATATTTGATAATGATTAATATCACAATCATAGAAAAGGTTTCGATGCAAAGCGATAATTTTATAAAATAAAGTTTCTGGGATCATAACCATAAATTAATCTAATAATTTTTTTTATATAAGGAATTCAGTAAAGACTTTCAAACATAATTTTGTCAACAAACAATGTGACGTAATTTGCATAATTTTATTATAATTCTTAGACTGTTTATGTTGGATTCTATAATCTTTGAAAACATAATAAATTGGTGAATCAGCACTTATTTGTATTTTAACCATGTTTTATTTAAAATATAATTGTAATTAGACAGTGAACAAACCAGTAAAACAAAAAAACCAGTACACGTGAGTAGTGCCATAGTTGGGACAAGAAAAAATGATATTTGATAGTGATTAATATCTCGATCATAATAAAAAGCTTCGAAATGTTAATTTTATAAAATAAAATATCTGGGATCATAAATATAAACTAATCTAAAAAATTATTAGATTAGTTAACTTACAATTTATATTATATAAGCAATTTAGTAAAGATTTTTAAATATACTTTTGTTAACAATTTTGTCAATAAACAATGTCACGCAATTTGCATAATTTTATTATAATTCATAGACTGTTTATGTTGGATTCTATAATTTTTGAAAACTAAATGCATTGGTGAATCAGCACTTATTTGTAATTTAACCATGTTTTATTTAAAATATTATTGTAATTTAACATTTTACATTAGACAGTGAACAAACATGCTGTATTTGTCATTTAGAAAACCCATTGAGTGTAACATTAAGTCCTTGCTATCATAAAATATGCAATAATTGTGCTAATGAGCTATCACTAAAAAATGGTACTAAATGTCCATTATGCAGAGAACCAATATTACGTTATAAAAATATAGGTAATTATTAAAAAAATATAATTTATCTTTACAAAATAACAATAACTTTGGTTTTAAAATGAATACTATATTATTAATTTAAAACTAAAAAATAATAAACTTAAAATGTATCAAACTTCGATTATCATCTAAATGAGAAAGAATAACGTTAGTCCAATTTCAATAAATTTTTTCAATAACTGGACAAACAGGATGATAAAAATTTGTTAAGACTCTCATTTTCCTAAATATTATAGAGAGTTTTTCCTTTTTGTAAAAATAAAACTAATCAGCTTTAAAAAAGGACAATATTAAAAATGTTAAACCGTAATTAATTAATTTTAACCAAAACAATTAACTAAATTTAATAAGAAAAAATTTAATAATGAAGAAACTGAATTGAAAAAATGACAAATTTGAGAAAATACAATAATGATTTGGAAATTTTGAAAATAGAAATACATTTTTTTTTTTAAATCATTAAGGGAATTTTAGTGATTATGGGAATATAAATTATGTTGGTCACTATTATTATTATTATTATTATTGAATTTACTTTAACCTTATATTTAACATTTAGAGTTAATAGAAAGATGTGCATGCAAAAAAGAACTTCGACACATTGTATTAAAACCTTGCCTTCACAGAATAGGAATAGTGTGTGCTGATTTTATTAGTAATAAAAGTGAATATCATCCAAAGTGTCCAATATGCCGCGTAAAAGTTGAAGAATTCTGTACTGATGGTTTGTATTTATTATAAAATATTATGGGATTGTGGAAAATTGGCCCATGCAATATCTTAATGAATTAAAAATATATAGAATAATTTATTTTCTTCAAAATTTATATTTTCATCATATTTTGGTAATTTGGGGAAAGTTTGGTCTTTTCACTTAAAATTGCATCATATTTGTTTTTTAATTAGAAATTATCACCAAAAAAAATTATCATGAAAATGAAATGTAATGCAATGGCATAATCCGTTTGAATGGGTTGTGTTTACAATGTAAAATTTTACTAAAATTAACATATAAAGGGAAACTCTGTTCAATTATTTAATTGATAATTTACAATCTAATGATTACATATATTTTTTTTTAGAACCACTCATAAGTAATGCATTAAATCCATCATATTTAAGGCGTATAAAAAATGTAACATCACATTATTTGAGTATATACAATTTATTATGTGTGTCTAGATTTGATGACTAGTATAATAATGAAGGTGTTTTAAAAAGAAGAAAATTAGGAAGGTTTTTTTTAACATTGTATATTGTAATATCAATAAATTTTAGTATAATTATGAACATATATTATAATTATGATATTTATGATTATATATAGTTTTATAAAATATTTATATTTTCTGTGTTTATTTAAAAAAAAATAGAGTAACCCTAATTTTAAATTTATAAATGTGTAATTTATTTATTAAGAATTTCGGTAATACTTTCTTATATTTGTTTGTGATATTTAAACAACAAATTCCATTACAAGCAATTAATTAAATAGAATTCTAAGATTATTCTGCGTGATTTAGGAATATTCTTTTGTAGTATAATTATTAACACATGTACTAAATATTACATATATATATATATATATGAATGAAGCAAAAATCATTTAAGGAATGTTTCCCTTTTAGGGTAATAAAATAACTATTTATCAACACATGTTTCAAACCAGTCCCCTACAATTCAGTAACTACGCCCACGGTAGGGTTTCTATCACAATTAACCAATCACAAATAATTATCCAACATCTTAGGAATTACAATAGAGATCGCTGGCTTACTTCATCCGGCGATTTCGACGACTTCTTTTTCGGACGATATCTAAAACTGCGAAGACTGCGACGACGACTACCCTCTAAATATTCTCTTACATGGAATCTGCGTCAGTATAAGTAAATATTTTGTCCCTGTGACTTAGTTTTTTTTATATGTATCATCTTAAGTGGTGAACATTGTCTTAGATTATTTATTAATATTTTACACAGAAACAAGTTTTTATTTATTTTTATTATCACCTAATGTTTTCACAACAATATAATCTCTATTTTTATATAAAGGTTTTAAGTATTCATTTCTGGACAGCCTTAAATATGCCGAACTAAATGAAGAAGCATAATTTGTGATTAGAATTAATTAGTTTTAGTAGTAGTACTTTATGCCTGTGTACCGGCGAGCATAAGGGACTAAGCCAAATTACCTCTCGGTAAAGTATAGGCAGTTGAGGTACAGAGTAGTACTAAACTTATAAAAAGAGTATTTTTGAAGTGCGCTATATCCGTCGACAATCCAGTTCTAGAGCTAGTAGTCCGGTTAAAGTTCATCATAAAATATATAGTCCGTAAGATAGGAAACTACATCTTGGAAATATTCTCTGCGTGTGTACCCGCCAGCCATAAAGGACTATACCAACTACTTTTTGGTAACGTGTAGGCAGTTGACGTAAAGGATAGTAAAAGGTGTATTGAAATAATATTTAAAATATATTAACGAGGTAACTGTGTCTACGCCAGTCAAGGCTTTACTCTGAGAAACGCTGGGCTACCACAGTCTTGTTAATTATATTTTGAATATAGATAGACATATTATATTTTGACTAGTTCAGAGTAAATTTTAAGAATATCGATATCGACTGTAGGGAATTCATCGAAATTATTATTAGTAAAAACATAGTATAATATAAAAGGAATTTAAAGAAAACAAAAAAAAGTTGACAAATTATAATATACACAGGTCCCATTGTAGAGAATCCCTTTTTTCTAAGTCTAATATACACAGAGAGACTAATTAATCGAAATAAACGCAAAACAGTATAAACGACTGTTAACACTGAAAGAAAAGATCACCTTAAAACCAACTCAGTCAATTACTTAAGGAAATAAAGGTAAGTGCCAATATTTATTTGCATGTCTTACTTCTAAAAAAATCACGTAATAAACAAGAATAGGAATAAATGAGGTAGGGATATTTTATTATTTAATAAATAAATATAGTTCGACCCCGAGATACCACTTCATTTTTACCTCCCTCATTCTTTTAACCCACTTTCTTTTTTTGTTTATTACACTTTAAAAATTATTTGAATTTATTCAAAGAGTATTATTCTAGAAAAAATCTGAAAGAATATTTAACTAATAAGAATACTGAATTAATTGATTTATATTTATAAGATACTATGCTATTATTAATTTAAACATATTATTTAATCGACATTGAACTATTACATTAGACAATTATTAAGAATAACATTATATAAAATGTGATAATAATTTGTTTATTATTAACAAAATTAGCTTTAAACGGGTAAAATAAATTATAAATACCTATTGTTTATTTTATTCCCGTAGGCCTAGTTTACTAGGCTCACAGGAATCATAAAATTATTCATTATACTTTATTTTTACTAATAAAATTTGTTTTGTTTGAGGCAGCTAGACCGTAGGACGGCTAGTTGTGCACCGCACTACAATGCCGATTTACCATAAGCCTGTTGAATAACCACATATATTAGAAATTCTTCACAGAGTATCTTAAATTTAAGGGGTATCGGGGGCCCTTAAATACTAACATTAAAAAATAATATAAAATTCAGCTGAACAGATAAAGTTGTTGATAGTGATAAGTGGACTGTATGACTACGGCAATGGAGATATTTAGTGATAATTAGGTGGCGTGCAAGGGCACTAAAAACTTGAGCACAAGGGTGAAATAAACAAATAAAAGAATAATGGCGTACAATGACCGAACAATTTACTATTCAAGCGAAGGCGCTTGCTACAAAAGATTATGACACATAAAACAATAGACTGACTAACTTACGACAATGAACTGTATACGGATGACAATTGACACGGAGATCATCGATTTGCTGTGCTGGGTGAGTATGAAGCAAAATGCTGTAGATCAGCTGTCACGCGATATAATATATTCAACGATGTTTGTAACAACTGGTCTACTAGATCTTTGCTAAAGGCATTCTATACCAAACACGAATATATCAATAAATTACTTAAGATTATAGTTTATATTATTACATTGATATATATATATATATATATATATATATATATAATTTTTATGTAAGCCCTTATTATTTTTTGATTATTTTACTTTAAAAAATATAAATACACAGGCTAATTTTTAGCTTCGATGCGAAGCTGAGAAGGTATTGGTTTTACTATGATGTGTTTTTTTTTTTTTGTATCTGTTTTCTCAGCTCTCACCGAACCGATTTCTTTCAACGATACGTAAAAATATCACAAATCGTATCTATTCGAAGACATTACCCTCAAAAATTGAAAAAATTTTCCTCGTTCCCCGCAAATGGGGAAAATCTCCAAAAAAATTACAAATTTAAAAATCGCTAATTTTTGACATTTTTTTTTATTTAAAACTGTCATAACTTTTTTAAAAATGACTAAATCATTATACATTTTTTTTTATAAAGTCATGAGATAGTAATTATCTTTTTTTTTACTTTTTTTATAAATCTGACCTTTTATCTGCCCACATGGGGGATTGAAAATGATTAATTTTTCTCAAAATATTAACTAAAGAAGGTGTTCCGGAAATACTGATACTTTTATATAAATCTTTTTATGCGGTTTTGGCAATAACTATTTTTCACGGCTTCTAAAATTAATATTACTTTATTTGTATAAAGCATTTACTCAAACAACCACTCGCCGAGTTAAATTTCGTCATTGCTGATTCTTAATGTAAATTAAAAAAGTTAATATATTAATATTAAACCTATATAATAACCTAAGGGGATTATTGGTAACTTAACTCTTGTAACTCATAGGCCTATACCGTTTAATCTAAAAGCAGACAATATGAATGAAAAAAAAATTATAACAATACAAAAAATGATAATGTTTACGCCAAAATAACAAAAAATGTTATTGTGGTTAATCAAAAATAATATTTTTTGGGTCCGTTTACATAACATGGTATCGGAACATTTGTTTTAACTTGCAAGCGGGCTTTTTTTATATATTGGCCTGTAACAACAACGTGGTTTGCCACTTGCATAACGACTAGCTAGAGTAGCAAGGGTCGCCACCACCTAGGCGAGGTGTCACACCTATCAGATATGATTACCGGACCATAGGTGGAATTTAATTTTAAGTTAATTAAAAATATAATCTAAGTTAATATGTCGTTATATGTATAAATTACTATAATGCCTCGTAGTTTATAGAACACAATTAAGACAATCAAAGTTGTATGTGGTTGATATGTAAAACATACCGTAGCCCGTGTCTAGATTAAGGAATAGGAATGAAATACACGCGAGTAATTAAGTTACTCGCGCAATAAAATAAATATTACAGTTGAAATTAATAAGGAAATTTAATTTAATTGTTAAAAAAAAGAAAATTAAGTTAAACATGGACAAAAATGCGAATGCATCAAAAACCATGTCTACAAATAAAGGCAATACAAATAAAATAAAATATTTAAACAAATAATATTACAAACATCACGGACGGTATTGGAACACATCCGTTAATGTTAATCGGAGATTAATGAAGAACACCAGGAGCGGTCTGGACACTCGCTCCTTAGCGTTGGCTAAAAGAAAAGGGAAACACGTGCTCTCCACACATAAACAAAATTAAGTTAATTTACAATAAAATAAAATTAAATAAAATAATTAATAAAATATAGCTCATTACATAAATATAATATAAAAAAGAAAACGATACCCGGTCTCCGAAGAGACCCATCCGATGGTCTGGATGCTTCGCCGAAAAGACCTGGCCGTTTGCCGTTGGCGGCTCTACTCCATCATTGAAAAATATGTCAATAAAACAACAAATGTGTGCACCCTAGCACGGTCAATGACAGAAGAAAGAATAGAGAAGAGTCAACACCGATCTAACGGCAATTTCAAAACGATAACGGCCAGTCTTTTTGGAAGGGATCAATACGATAACAATTCGATTTTAATTATATTTCTCTTTTATCGCCTTATCTAGCGGTCAGCGGTAAAATAATGAGTGGTTGACACCGCTGTGTCAGAAAAAGGTTCTTTCGCGCGATAAAATAAATAAGTAGACATAACAAAAAAATCATAAACGGTCCACCTTCGAATTTGTGACGTTACAGAAACCCCCCTTGAGAAGGTTTGAAACAACGTGACAAATCTTCTCAAAAAGAGAAAACAAACAATCAAAGTGGACCTCAACCTTCAAGCAAAACAAGAAAAACAAAATTAAAATAGAATAAAGAGAATAAAACAAAATAAATTGAAAATAAATCAAT